AATCATTTGAGAGAGAGAGAGAGGGGAAATAGTTGGTTTTACTGTTGCAAACTATGCAACTATTGACCTTTATTTTTAATGATTAAATCACTGAATTTATAATTTTGTTTCAGTTGTACTACCAGGTTTATTTCATTTAATTAACGTGACAATCAAAAACCTCGGTGTGACAATTGATGTGAATTATGTCCATTTAAGATTTAATCCCCGTTTGTTTCTCATTTTTCATCCATAAAAATAAAAAATATGACCGTTATCCATCATATTAAGACATCAATTTTGAATTTATATCTTTTGTGTGGAGTTCAATAAAAACTATATTTTTCATTCTCATTCTACATTAATGAGAATCAAACGGGCCCTTATGTATATCATGTCAAATCTATGGCATTTTTTGTTTACAAAGTTAATGGAAGTAAAAAAAAAAATCGACTAAATTCAAATAACATAATTAATTTTTGAAAAATAAATATTTATAACATTTAAACAAACTTCACTAAGGTTAATAACCCAATTTTGACAAATTAAATATTTATATAAAAAATTTAAAGATAACTTTACTTATCTCTAAAAGGTGTTTATACCATATTCGTATCGAATTGACCTGATGTGTACACTCAGTTAACAGTCCCCTCACATTGGAGGTGGGGCCCGCAATTTTTAAAATCGCGGACCCCTCCCTCATGTGAGGCCGGGCCCCACATCCAATGTGAGGAGACTGTCATGCTAGATGTATACCAAAACACTTTGGTATACATCTAGCATTTCTCGTGCATATAATAGATGTGTCTTCATGTAGAATGGACCAACGCAAGGACAGAAAATTTAATATGAATAGTTATCGAAAGAATAAATAGAGGTTATTGGCAGTAGATGTAGAAGGTCCCATCTCCATTAAATAGAAGCATTTATACTTGTTAGGAAATAAAACTATGGATCCCACAAGCTGAATTATCATTTTCAAGCCAGCTTTTGTTTTTAACTACCTACGGTTTCAGTTGACCTGAGCTTATCTGAATGTTCCATCTGTTACCTGTTTCTTCTGAATAAATTTCTTTACTAGGACTCTGAATTGAATCATAAAGTTAAGTTCCGATGCAGTCTAAACACACGAATCAGGAATATCGAGCACGAACTCCTCGCATTGCACTTGTGAAAAGGGTTAGGAATATTTGTTAGAGACACTCTAATACTTTTTTTTTTTGATACACAAGTGTCCCAACTTTGACAAACTAAATCTGGGACCTTCAAGACCCTTGCCTCTAGAACTTTGGAGGAGGTAAATCGCGAAATATGTCTCAATTGATTCCCAAGTTCCTCTCACCAATTGTGCACTTCTGCGCACAATAGATAATCTTCTAAAGTAATTGCTTCATACCAAATAAATTTGACCGCAAGTTCCCACTCTAATACTTAAATCCATAACAAGTACTGGCAGAGCCAACTGGGTAGTGGTGGCAATGCTCGGTTCGACCCGTATATGTATGTGCTGGTGCTTAAAAACCTTTTGCTCGACTCATTACTCGTGGGTCGAGCTCGACTCGGCCCACAAGCTCGTGGCTTGTGGGCCGACCCAAGCTTCGGCTTGCAAGCTCGGATTTTTTATTATTTTTTTTATAATTATACTTGTTCTAAACCTTTAAAAAAAATTTTAAAAGAAACCAATGAG